CCCCCACCCCGTGGCCCCGCCGGGTCTGACCGGATGAGGAGGGCGCCTGGCCGCGCGCTTGGGTACCCCGGAGGCTCCGGTGAAGCTGGAGCTGCGGGGCACACCGGGGACTGGAGGAGCAGAGAAGGAGCCCGGGCCTCGGAAATCTGGGCGGGCAGAGGCAGCCTCGCCCAGGACAGTGCCCCGCCACCACCACCCGAAAGGTCGCCGCCTGGGCTGCGGTCTCCGCCGGAGTATCGCAGACAGACCCGGCAACCTCGCGCGCTCGCGGTGCCCCAGTAGTTGCGCGCGATGTAGGTCGCTTGTCCCTGGTGGGCTCTGCTACTCGTCATACTCTTTCCGAGGGGCTGGGGAGGGGTCGTGAAGCCGGGAGAAAGAGCAGACCGTGTCATGCGAGGGGGAGGGGTGCCCGGCCCAAAGCCTCGGGGCGCGCGCAAGGGCGCACAGCCGGGAACCAGAGGCGGCCACGACGTTTTTAATTAGGGCTAGGGCGCCCCAACCGCGGCAGCTCTGGCTGTATCGGGGTCACGGTTTCTTTGCCTCTCCTTGAAACTCGGTTTATTGCCTTTAAAGAGCCAGATAAGGAAGACAATCACTCGACAGCCGACGATTTGGAAACGAGGAAATCCTACTCAGACCAAAGGAGTGTCTCCCAGCTCAGTCCCGCAAACACAGACCGAGGTGAGCCCTAAGACTCCTCGTGCCCCGCCCGCAGCTGAGAGCTGGGATCCAGGTCTCCCAGGTTTCAATGGGCTTCCAGGCAAGACATTCATGATCCAGCCTCTGCCAGTTCTTTCCTTCCTCGGCGAGCGGATAACTATTAAATATTAAGAGGAATGGGGTTTCAGGCCAGATATCCAGAGCTGCTGAGTCGTGGATGGCTTGGGGCTCCTTGGAATAGATGAAAAGGAAATGGAGGGACAGCCTCACCTACCGAAAACAGGTCAAAGGCCACTTCCTTCCCAAGGACAACTCATCTTCCCGGAACCCACTCTCCTACTCTCAAACACAGCATGGATGGTCGGTAGTATGGATGCCTGTGACTGTCTCTTCTCCAGGCAGAGGGTCTGGATTAGGTCTCTGACTTGGCACAGTTCCCTGGATGCTCACCCCTCCCCTCTCAAGGCCTCTCCCAAAGCAGCACCCCTCTCACTTGCCCTTGTATCCCAGGGGAAGACGGGCTTGCCTTGGATGTCACAGGAACCCAGCTGGTGGAGAAAGATATTGAAAACCTGGCCAGAGGTGAGGTTAAATCTGCAAAATGGGGGTGTGCTCTGCTTGAGGGTGATGGACCCTACCTGTAGAGGGGGTATAATTCCTATGGTAGGTTTGTAGGAAATCCGTGGCTATTGGGTCAGTTTTTATTTCCCTGGGTAGGCAAGATAATCCTCTGGACACATCCCAGTGCAAAGGTGTACCTGTGATTAGGGAATGGGAAGAGTAAACTAAGTCCCTGGAGGTTTATTGGAAGTTTGAGTTTCAAGGCCAGAGTCTGTTCTGGATAGGCTGGTAAGAAAGTGATGATTCTCAGAACTTGATGCTGTAGCCAATCAGGCAGGACAGTCTGGAGTTCTCCCAGCTCCATGGAAAACAAAACTATTTCCGAAAAGCAAGATTGCAAGGAGACATTTGTTAGGACCATGGGAGAGGTTAGAGCATGTTCCCCCAGAATTGATGCAACCACAGTGAGGGTGGAGCTTGTTTGCAGATGGGATACCCAGGGTTGCTGCTCAGCCTGCAAGGGGGAGAAGAGAGAAAGGGGGAGTCTTGGACCCCACTTTGCCCCGCCATCTTTCATTCGTGTGAGGAACGCCTTCCTTGGGGAGGCTCCAGATGCCAACAGCCACATGGTTAGAGCAGCCTCGGGCACTGGAACCTTCTGGAACTGGGGTCCAACGTCATCCCATGGATAGTCTTGGCCTTGATGGGAGATGGGAGACAAGCATTACTGGCTTTGCATGTTTCTTAGTTACAGATTTTATGGGATGTGCCATTACTTTCAAAATCTGTTTGTTTTCTGATACTGGGGATTGAACCTAGGGCCTCATGAATGCTAGGCAAGCACTGTTTCACTGAACTACACCTCCAGCCCTCGTTTATGTTTTATATGAGGTTTCTTAACCTGGGAACCTCCTGAAATTGTAGGCAAGGTGTTAAGCATGTGTATTTCTCTGGGAAGGTTGCTCAAAACATTGACCAGATTCTCCCTGATTTGTATCCAAAGGAGGGATTAGGATTGTCACTTGGAGAGGGAAGCTGCATTTGTATGGGTCTTCCATCCTCTAAGGTTAGGGAATTAGGAACAATTCAACAGATGACAAGCTGGTTATTGCCATGGAACTAGGACCCCAAATTCAAAATAGGTTCCACCCTCCTGAATTTGATTCTCCTGGGTATCCTACCCCTGGCCTTGTGTCCTTCCTCAAATCCTTTGCATGGAAATGGAAAGCCAGAGTGCTGAAGGCCACTACCACAACTTGGGCCCCGAGACCTCAGTCCTTAATGGTTCCCTAGAATCCCCCTCCTCCTCCTGACCTCTCCCCCTCTCCCCTGTCACAGAGGAATTGCAAAAACTGCTTCTGGAGCAAATGGAGCTCCGCAAGAAGCTGGAGCGAGAATTTCAGAGTCTCAAAGGTACTTCCATGCCTCTCTACCCCACCTCAGCATAGTCACCCGGACCCATTCTGGGGACTGGGTGCAAGCAGCTGTCACCCTAGGCCCGGGGAGATCAGAACTCCCGCTTCTGGAGCGTCAAGCTGGGTGCAGGGGTGAGGATGGGAGGGAGGCGGAAGTGAAGCTGGGGGAAGAGGCTGTGCTTAACAGCTCTCACTTAATCAATTTGCACAGATAATTTTCAGGATCAAATGAAGAGGGAATTGGCTTATCGAGAAGAAATGGTGCAACAGCTGCAAATTGTCAGAGGTAAGACGGGAGTCAGGTGAGCACACGCACGGCCGTAACTGCCTCTCGTCTGGCGGGAGCCGCAATGTTGGCTCAGTCATTTGGATTTAAATTGAAGGTAATTTAACAATTATTTTTTTATTTAATATCCTTTGTATACTCTGATTAGCCTCAGAATGGCAAGCAAGCCCAGCAAACGGCTTGCAGGCATCATTACATGGAGTGATTGAACTTCTTATCGCGGCAATTTCCATGGTTTCTAAATTAAAAATCGAGGCGTAAAATTACCTGGGAAGTAATGCCTAAGTTTGCTTTAATTTTGGTTAGATCCGTCTGCCTTTAAGCGCCATCCCAGGCCATTTCCTCCCTCCGCCAGTCTGCAGTTTGGAGCGTGGGTGCCCCCTCCCCTCACTCCCCCAGTGGTTTGGGGGAGGGGCTGGGGGTGGCCTGGGCTGTGACCCTGCTGGCCGGCCTGAAGGCCGCCTGGGTTTGCTCACCCGCCCCTCCCCTTCCAGACACCCTGTGTAACGAACTGGACCAGGAGCGGAAGGCACGCTATGCCATCCAGCAGAAATTAAAAGGTGCGGACTGAGAAAGCTAGAAGGGGTGGGTGCCATGGCCCAGCTGGGCCCCTAAAAGAGAGAGTGAACGGGTGGGTGGGGAGGACGAACAGGGGCTTGTGAGAGAGAAGGCGGGGGATACTTGGACCAGAAGAGGAAAGCGGGGCTCCATTGTAATGGGGAGCTTATTCTAGAAGGTGGGCTAGGAAGGAACAGCCTTTTGGTCTCTGGGCATCCAAAGACTCTGCCTTCGGAGACACCTGGCCTCGGGCAGGTCGATCCCTCTTTCTCTGAGCCTCCGTTTCCTCTTGTGCAAGACGGGGCTATTGAACTAGAGCGGCGGCTGTCAATCACCAGGTCTCTCTCCTACCTCCTTTCTGGCCTATGGGGTAGAGCACCTCGGAGCCCAAAGGGTTGCTGAGGCCGAGAAGGGGGACGGATGGGCTGCGCGGGGCAGGCGACGCCGCCAACGTGGCCGGTGCGACTCTCTCCCCAGAAGCCCACGACGCCCTGCACCACTTCTCCTGCAAGATGCTGACGCCCCGCCACTGCACCGGCAACTGCTCCTTCAAGCCCCCGCTGTTGCCGTAGGGCCGGCCC